CAGATTTGACGTCAGAGCTCACTTGCCGTGCAAAAAAAATATGCATTATTGAGCTCCCCCCCCCCAAAAAAAAAGTTAATTTTTATAATTTCTGCATGGTGTACAGTTTGGAAATTACCGACATGGCAAATTTCAAGTTTGTTGCATGTCGGGAAGTACGCTAAACATGTTGAACAGACACACATTCACAACTTTGCATTTTATATAAATGGAGATAAACTAATGCAGGAATCCACATGTTTTTAAAGTCGTGGATGTTTCTTGACCATACTTCACTCTCACGTTGATGATTATCCTCGGGGAAATTATATCATCATGTACTATATAGAAAATATTATAATGGGTTTTAACCATCATGTGATGAGTATCCATTTCACAACGAGAGTGTGGGGCAGTGTGGTTCCTCGTGGGTACGGATAGTGAGGCCACCCCGAGGGGTTTCCAGAAGATGGTCGGTGAAAACTCTTGTGCTGCCATTCTCTGCCATGTGATTCTCTGCATCTATGTTCTCTGAGATTTTTAATTAGATTCTTCATCAAAGAACCATTAAGCATAAAACTGAACATCAACCACTGGATAAACCCAGAAAAGAAGGTGATATGGAATAAGTGGGAAGCATGTTCCATCAGCCCCTATTAGCTTTCCAGAATTGTTCTCTCGCCCCCCATCAAAGATAATCCATGGGGCCTCAAGCCGCTCTGGACCGTTGCCACCATCCTCCGAGTCTGCCGAAATAGACAAATCCCGTTCTTTCCCTCTCTGCATCCGTTAAAATAGAGGGTAAAATAATTAATTAGCAAGCATGGAAAAGCTGCTGGTATTGATAAGATCAGGGACCTGTTGAGATCAGGGACGTTTTGACCCAAGAAGAGAAAATGTATTCTTTCCATCTTATATAGGCACGACATCATATCCCGCAGTCACACTTCTACAAGTAGCTAAAAACCAGGGACACCATCACCAAGGCTGTAAACAAAAACTTTGCCAAGATCACCCACCCCATAATGGATTGGCTCATGGAGAAAAAGCACAAACTAGCAAAGGCGTGAAGGTGTGCCATCACCTTGACTCAGGGGACGAGCAGATCAGACTAACACCCAAGAAACTGTGGGAAGCACTGCTGGGGTCTGACATCCACCCCTCACCCCCAGATATAGCGAGCCTTGGCAGCTGGTCCCTTGTCGTTCCCCTTGAAAGTTATCCCATTAAAATTCATGCATAGAGTTTACACAACTAACAAACGGAGTGCAACATTCTCTATCTCTTCTCCAGGTTATCTCAGATGCCCACAATGCACTACACAGACATAACCGCATGCTTTTTGGATTGGAGAGTTTTACTGGACCATTGCCAACTACTTCAACTTGATCTGTGGCATAGAGGTCGACCCTTCAGTGGATTCATCCCTGTGGGGCGTGAAACTGGTGGGAGTATCCAAACACCAACAAACACATTACTTCAAGCGTTCTACACCATGGCAAGGAAACCTATCTTGGGAAACTGCAGACCTTGGTAGAGATCTCTAAAGGCTTTGTGAGCAATGGAACACCTCAGCTACAAGCTTAAGGGGAACAAAAAACAAGAATATGAGGTGATATGGGCCGCATTCCTTGAGAATCCCACGTAACATAAAACACCTGGACGTACTGAGGAAAGACAGTAACCAGTGGACGGGGGATGGGGAGGAGGAAAGGGTGACAGGAATCACACCAATCTACCAGACTCTGAACGTAAGTTGTCCCCAGAAAGGAAAAAGGCAGAGGCAGGCTCACAGCTTCTATTGTTCTGTATATTATTTATTATCCCATTCATTGCTTGGGTTATAATCCCCCCCCCACCTAGTATCTCTCCCCCACCCTTCCCCCTCTAATCATGCTCGTCCGATCTTTAGCCCTACCTTTAGGAGGGAAAGGAACCCAACAAACCCCAATCAGTCCTGGTTAGGGGGAGAATAAATACCCAGAGGGCACGGCTCCCAATCGCCATGTGCAAATCGGTTTACCCTCTGTTTTGTTCATGGTTGCAGGTTAAATTAAAATATTACAGGAAGAAATATTAATATTTTTATTGCGCAGATAATAAATGAAACTAGTTGTAGATTCAAGGTGATCGATGTTGCACTGCTCTCACTTTAAAAATAACTATACTCCCAGTTGCATAATCGTTCTCTGTCATACCCCTCTGAAGAGCTCATGCAAGCCATAGCTTTAGTCATGTAAAACTTTCCATTTTAAATATCTTTCTTATAAAAGAGCCATAATTTAAACTACAGTAAACATAACTAAAGAAATCCCACGTAAACATTTGTGTCGTAGGTCTCTTCTTCCTTCTCGCTCGAGGCTTGTGCGTGCGTGCGGGTGGCGTGCTTCGCGCACACACTCAGTCGGAGACGAGGTTGTCGCAGGAGGCACCGTCCTCCCCTCTCATACAGCACATACCACCACAATATTTATGAAAAGAGTAATATTGTCACCTGGCCAATGGACATCCATTGATGTTTACGCCCTAACGCGTCAACAACTCTCTTGGCTTCACTTTCGGAATGTGGCTCATCCAGCTTTGTCGCACACAGGTAGTGAACTGAACCCAGCCGTGTCAAAACACAGGCAGTGGAGGGAGCGCAACTCTTATTAAACAAAGGCAGTCGACGGAGCAGGGTTGAAAATAATACAATAGAGAACGCATTCAAATGCGTCTGCATCTCAAGAAACTGCACAACAGTCAAAACACAGACAGTGATGGGTACAGGAGAAGTGGATGGCGAGAGAGACATGCTCAGAGAACTATACCAGAAGGAGGGAATAAGTAGCCTCAAAATCAGTCATGGTTGAATAAAAGTCCACAAATGATAGCCCAACGAAGTGGCTTAATACGTGGAAATTTATAGCAGCCAAATAATCTGAATGCATGCTTCCAAATGTGGAGGGAAAAACTGGAGGATCCTAAGAAAAATCAACGCGACCATGGGGAGAACTGCAAACTTCAAATATAGAACAGGCGTCAGGGTCGGAACTGATCCAACACCTCCTTCATACTAGGCAAGGAAGATAACATCTGATTTTGCATTACAATTCAATGGATGGCAACTGTGCGGCAGTGCGCACAGCTGTAGACCCCCAAGTAAAACTATAAAAGTTTTATTTTAGCAGGCAAGGCCCACTGAGCTATATAGCTATTTTTCAGAAGTTGTCACGTTACACGTGATAGCTATCGAAGAGGTTTATCATCACGTGGGAATTGATTATTGCCAAATAATTTACACGCGTGTTTCTAAATGTGGAGAGCAAAACCGAAGGGATAGAAAAAAATTCCACGTGACCACCACGGGGAGAGAACATATAAAAGCCCACTTACGTATTAACTCATTTTTCAGAAGTGACATGACCACTAAAGATAGCTCAACGAAGTGGCTTACCACGATTCTAAATGTGGAGGGAAAACTCGGATGACTCGGAGCAAATATCCACACGACCATGGGGAGAACGTCAATTTTCAAAAATACAACAGGCATCGTAGTCAGGACCGATCCCACGACCCTCCTCCATACCAAGCTAGGGAATTAACATCTCGCCACCACGGGGACCCATGATAGGGGGTGGCAGGCAGAAGTGAGACCAGTGAGGATTTTCAAGACGGCGAGGGCAATCTTGTTTTTTTTATTCACAAATTAATCGGGAGACATTGGAGGGATCATAAACAAGACCGTAGCTTTACCAACAAAACAGGCGAAACAGAACAAATCGAGTACTGTACTATGAAAGACAAGACTCCTAGTTGATTGGGACACTTGATAAAAAGCGAGTTTTAAATTGCATTCAAATATTTACAACGAGGTGGGTTCCACTCCAGTAAACCGTCATTGTAAACTCAGGCTTCTACGTGGGAATGAGTCTCATAGGCAACATCACGGGGTGAAGGGGACAGTGGGGTTTTTTCGCCCCCTCACGTGACTGACTGGGCACAAGTAACAGACTTCAGCCCCCATTGACAATGTCTGTAAATAGGGAGGTGGGAGTCAATCGAGTCAGCAACAAAAACCGTGACTTTTAAATCAACACCTTTTCTGTAAAAATACGATCGACCATATATTACGGTAATGCAAAGGGCAGTAAAGTAATATGGAACACCGCGGTGGCGAGCTGTTATCTCTATTGCCTCGTATGCAGGAGGTCATGGGTTCAATCTCAACCCTTACGCCTGCATATTTTGAGTTTGCAAGTTCTCCCCGTGGTCGCGAGGATGTTTTTCTGGGTCCTCCGGTTTACCCCTCCACACTTAGAAACATGTGTTTTGATTATTTGGCTGTCTTTCAAATGTCCACATGACAAGCCACTTTGTTGGGCTATCATTAGTGGCCAGGTCGCTTCTCAAAATGCGAATAGCTCAGTGGATTTTACCTGGTAAATAAAATAGTTTTGTTTTGAATCTCACGTGACAAACACCAAATCCAACCAACACGCCCAGTGCAGATACACTGAAAAAAAGCAGCAAATGCACCAGAATGAAGCAGGAAACATCTCGCCAAGTGGTATATGCATCAAAGAGACAACGCAAGAAAAATAATCAAATCCACAACCAGTCCTGGATATGATAGTAAAATAAACTGCCTAGGAGCAGCGTCCTTCACGAGCCTCCTCCGTGCCTACAGCACGAGCTCCAACACAAACATCCCCCATGTATCTCCACAGACTGGTGGGGCAAGTGCTGTTATTGAGCCCCTATGAAGGCCGGCATGGTACACGAGGGGGTCGGTGGTTACAACCACGCCGGACCGCCTTTGTGTGCGATGTTTACACACCGCCCCAGGTCCTCATTTGGGTTACACACACACTGACCTCCCTACCGCCCACCGTGCACACACACTCACACGTGCTACGCCATCTTGCACACGCAAAGAGACATTCATTAAAAAAAAGACCCCGTGTAGACTACACAGGCGGTTTATAATCTGGACCACACCACCCAACGTCCCCCACGCACCACAAACTCCCCACACTAACCCACGCTGTGAAGTGTCACACCACCCACCGTCCCCCACGCACCACAAACTCACCACACTCACCCACGCCGTGAAGTGTCACACCACCCACCGTCCCCCATGCACCACAAACTCCCCACACTCACCCACGCCGTGAAGTGTCACACCACCCACCGTCCCCCACGGACCACAAACTCCCCACACTCACCCACGCAGTGAAGTGTCACACCACCCACCGTCCCCCACGCACCACAAACTCCCCACACTCACCCACGCCGTGAAGTGTCACACCACCCACCATCCCCCATTCACCACAAACTCCCCACACTCACCCACAATGTAAAATGTCACACCACCCACCGTCCCCCACGCACCACAAACTCCCCACACTCACCCACGCTGTGAAGTGTCGAGTCGCCCGCGTTTCTCGCCCCTGACACGCGCAGACGCGGCCCCGCTCCCCGTGTCGCCTCCTCTGCCGCTCTCTCAGTCTCAGGCCCTGACGCCAGCAGTGGCATCAAGAAGTCTCCTCCAGTAGCAGCAGGAAGGATAGGGGTAGGGGGTGAGGGGAGGGTTGGTGGGAGGGGTGAGGGGGGGTTGGAGGGGTGCCGGGTGTGGGGAGCTGTGGCACCTGCAAGCACTGTTCTCTATGTGTGGTAAGTGTTACGTTTGATGTGTTATTACTTATTATGATTTGTATCTCTCATGGTAATAAGGTTGCTCAAGCGTGGAACATTACGGGGCGGAAAGTAGCTCATTTTTAGCATGAGAGTCAATGGGGAAACGATGATTGTTCGACGAGTTTTTGCTTATCGAGCATTTTCCACGGAACGTATTTTGCTGGTTAAGCGAGACACGCCTGTTAACATTGTACTGAGCCAATGTTGGTTATTGTGATTGTGAGTTCCTCACCAGGTGACTTGTCATTGGTCTATGAGCTCAACTCACGATAACCATCAATGTGATCAGCTCACCTTTCACGCAATTCGTGTGATGCACTGATGCAGGCCGTAAAACTCATGAAATATCTAAAGTGAGTCATTTGTTCCTAAAATAAGCATTGAAGTGGTGCTTATTTCCTGCTCACAGCCATCTTCCGGTGGTGGTTATAATTCTACTTTTCTATGACGGAAGCGATTTCTAGTCTCAATATCGTGTGGCGATTTTTATGGCTGGGTAGACATTGGCATTGTAGCAATCATTGCTCAATGATATTTCTATTTTTCTGACCCCGGGCGACTTGCAAATGAAACTGACTTGACTTCACCTGATTGGATTTCCCCACAAAGTCGTGCTGATTTTATCGACCCATTAAGGATGGTGAGATGAGTCAACCCCAACCAGGGTTTGACCTCAACCTTTTAATTGCAAAGCCGTTTACTCTACTACTGAGATACCAAGGCAGTTAGTTAACATATGAGTATTATCATCCTTAATAGAGTTTTTTTGGGTTGGATCGTGTACATTTATAAATGTGTTGTTGTAACCCACCACCACCCGACACAGTCAACTAGTAAGGGTTGTCACGTAAACAGAACATGCCAATTCGTCACTAGTACAGCACACCGGTGTGTTGGAGAGCCAAGCCTCAACATTTACAATCTGAGTACGACGTTACGCCAGTATTTACAACTAGCTTCATCAGATTTGAGAAGTCTAACTGTTTCGTTCCTTATACAGAGGCGTAGATGTGGTAACTACACTTCTGCTCTCTGCGCAAAGTGAGGGGGGGGGGGAAATAATGAGCCAACGTACATTATGCATGTGTATTATGCGAGCCCTTTGATCTTGTTCTTTCTCTCTAATGTGTGTATGAAAATAGCCATACCAACTATAATCCCTATTGGAGTATGGTTCCCTTTAAAGGCATGCATTTAAATAATGTATTATTTGATTATTCGCTTCCACGCAGCACTAAGGCGGTAGCTATCCGAACGGTTAAAATATTTTTTACTTCTTTCAATCTCGATATATTCTCTAATTAGTCTTGGCCAGTAGTAGCTAGTTTTGCAAAGGAACTTCAACATTATCAAAAACAATTCAGTATCCTTGTTAGCACGCCTGTTCTGCAACTGCTGACAGTTGTATTTTGGAGTTTTTAATGTTTCTCTGACGTTATTTTAGTCTCGTGCTGATCATTCATCCTGTTTGCCCAGTCATAACATTTTCCACAAGTGTAGTTAATCCTGTACAAACCTTCTGTTGATAGCTTCGGTAAAACATCTTTCATACAGATATTAATTTCTGTATTTTATGTACCGTGCCAAATCTGACTTGGATGTTTTGTTTTTCCAAACATCTGGCTAGTTTATCAGTTACTACCGCAATGTACAGTATTTTTTATCGTTTTAATTACTTGTGCAATTTCAATGCTGGTGTTATTTGATTTGGATTTGACATTCGAATGCCTTGTTGATTTGTGTATCATTGTAACCATTCACTTGAAGCGCTTCTTAGCTCGATTAATGAGCGTCTAGATAAGAGCAGATTTCTGTGTGGGGTAATGGTGTGACTTTCCATTCAGATATGCGTCAGTATGCGTTTTCTTTCAGTAAACACCGTCTGTTATTTTACCATTTTTACCCCGTCCGAGCAGAATATCCAGAAATAGTAGAGTTCTGTCAGCTTCCACTTCCATGGATGAACTGGATGGATGGGTTTTGCGAGTTGAGATAATTTAGAAATGCGTTAGTGTATCTCTGCCGGGTGGCCAGACCACCAATGTGTTATTCACATATCTTAACCAAGCAGAGGGTTTTAGTGTGCTTGAAGCTATTACTTTTGCTTCAAAATCTTCAATGTACAAATGCGATATCACAGGAGATAAAGGAGTGTCCATTGCTTCTCCTTCCTTTTGTTTATAGAAGTCACCTTGCCGCAAGAAGTATGTGTTCTTTAGAGTGTTCAGCTAGTTCGTTACCAGAGTGTCGAGTAATTAAATTGTACTCAGATTATATTCTTAGCTCTTTCGGTAAAGTCACGTTGAAGGGAAACAATAAAATAATAAAATATATATAAAAAATCTCACGTTTCGACCATAACACAAACGGTCGTCATCAGGTGTGAAAAACCAACGGCAAGAAACATTTGAAAGAAGTGTCGGTCCGAATTTATTTATTTATTTTTGAACTGTGTGCTTTTTTTTTAAAAAAAACGTCAGCGCCACCCGCAGCGATTTGGATTGTAAATGTTGTGGCTTGGTTCTCCAAAACAACCGGTGTGCTGTACTAGTGACAAATTGGCATGTTCTGTTTATGTGACAACCTTTACTAGTTTATATATTTACGCGATCTAACCCCCAAAAAACCTCTTATGGATATTGGTCGCAAAAGCCTACGTGTTAAGCATACTGCAGCTTATTGAAAACATTCTCAAATATGCCAACAAGCAAATCATTACAGTCGTCGAGTCCAGAGTAAATAATGGCGTGTGTTATCTTCTCAGCATCAGCTAGAGAAAGGCAAGAGCATATATTAGCAATGTTGTGAAGGGGAACGAATGACGGTCTTACAAATTTTCAAATATGTGCTTCAAAGAACTGGGCAAGATGAAAACAGATGCAATATATCAATCAATGCAAACTACCACCATCATCAGATATATAACCAAGCCATCCTCTAAATTATAACTTCCAGAAATTATAATTTATGACAATTAGTTATCATCTACAGCACTGCACAATCCCCAATGCACTGGTGTGAATATTTGTTAAGATGTTTTCAGCAACTTCATTCATTTTATGTCTATAACAACTTCAACTTTAAAATAACACAATGTGCACAGACTCTCAGAGAGAACGATTCTGAGCGCAGGTTGTAAGGAGTAGCTACAGACAAGTGGGAGAGTCACCCACGCGATGAGCCAGCACCAAATCTTTTGCCAGGCTCTGTGGTGAGGCCAAGTGGCTCCGATTGGAGGCACTTGGGCAATGGGTAAACATTGCCGCTGGGAAGTAAAAGACAGCCGGGCATGGTGCTGGTCACCCACCCCCTCGTGTGCTGTGCAGACCTTCATCGATGTTCTCTAACAGCACGTGCCCAAAACGTCTGTTATGGTTATACGGGGTATCATTGGCGCAGTCTCGCATATGTGCATGGCAAGCAGGACTGGTGTTGTCAGGAATGAAGATCAGTGCTGATAAATTTAGACTCACATTCCGGGGGCGCATTGAGTCAATTGTCACATTCCACTGCTATAAACTTAGCCACGCAAAGCTGTGATTTGTGGAATGTAGGCACAGAAAGACCCCCAATACATAGAAATGCTTGCTATAAAGAGAAGTTCTTGCCCAAACCGTCGCTGCTTAAACATGTTTTATTTGAATGTAGAAGTGTTATTGACGAATGTGAGTTGTTTTGTTCATTGTGTAGCAACACAGCTCTGGGCCGGACCCAACTAGTCTTAGAGACACGGGAGGAATGAGGAAATATGTTATGTGAGAGCTCTACAACGCAGCAAGGTCAGTTGTACACACCGGACAATTTTCACAATCATTTCTAAAACAGAGCTTATCAAGTTCAATTACAGGCTGATAACTTGATAAAGATGGATTTTAAATGCTGCTCAGGTTGATGTTGTTGTGAACTTGAAGAGGCAATTTTCCATCTACACCTCCACAACATTATAACCATCATAGCAACAACCTCCGACACCAATAATGTAATCGTCCTCAGAATGGCCACCATCATCACATTGTAGAACATGCTGCCACATTCATGAAACCAATACAGTATTACCACTAGATACGAATGAAGATATGAGTGTATTGACTGCCTTGTTGCACATGTCTGGTGAGGATTACGTGTCAATGGAAACTTGAGGCCGATGTTGGTGGGGATGTACATACACACATGCATACTGCACGTACACATATGTATGTGAATGACGAGCAGGTGCGGTGTAGCCAGGTGTCAGGATCAGTGCGGGTGAATGTAAACATTCACATTCCCTGAGTGCATTGACCAAATGTGCACATTCTGCTTTTATTTGCTCATTCTCACAAAGCTGTGAATTGCATATTGCGGGCAAAGGGA